TCTGAATCAGAGTTTCTCAGACTGTCATCGGTGCGCTGCAGTTTCAAGGTGGGAACGTTTTGCCATTCATGATGTTTGCTGCTCCACGGCTCTGTAGTTCTTTGCCGCTAAGAAGCACCATCGCTGTCCAATTTTAAAACCCGTCTGAAAACTCATTTTTATGCTCTGGCCTTCGACCCAGCATGAGACTCCTGTTGTGTTTTTACTGTCCTTTTTTTAATGATTTTATTCTACTTTTATTGTATTTTGCATTTTTGGATGTTTTAAATTGTTTTTATATTTTGTGTTCAGCGCTTTTGTTTCGACTTTTGTTGTGCTAAAGTGCTTTATAAATAAAGTTGAATTGACTACTTTGCTCATGAGGTGCCTTCTACTATACAGAAAACACCACATGGACATGCTTATGAAGAAAGAAAAAAAAAGATTTTTCACCACCAGAAGGGGCCTTTAAAGGTCATAGCAGGAATCACTTTTTAAATGATTATTTTTTTTGTATTTAAGGTTTTATGCAGCTGTTTTTACATGCAGTAATATCCTCCCAACACCCATACACACATTATGATTTGTAAAATGCGTAAAAAAAAAAAAAAAAAAAAAAAAGGGAAAATCTTTCTTTGCTGGAGAAAGAATGCAACAGCTAAAATCTGTAAGGTGTCATAATCTTAAAATGGTGTTTTGATGTAAACTGCTAAATCACTAGTTACTATAGCTGTTAAAAAAACCCAAAAAACATATAATGAATATATTTCTTGTCATGTTTATGAAACGTAAACGCTCAAGCACATCTCAAAATGTCTCTTTAGTGCACTGCTTGAGTAAATCTGCTTCCAACACTGGCAGAAATACACCAGACAGGTACCACATGTGTTGCATTTTATTCAGTCTAGAAGCTTGCAAGTATCATACCAGCCTGTTGCCAGCCTCCACCGTGGTATTATCTCAAGGCTTCCTCCTCAGCACACACTCTGAAATGAAAAATGTCCAACGGGCTTCCAGTTCGGTTAGACCATCTGTCTGGCTTTTGAAGAGCAAAAACAAAAAGATGCCATTCATTTGGTGCCTCCTTGATTCTTCTTTTGTTTGTGTAATTTGCTTTGCCCAGTCTTCTTCTTCTTCTTCTTCTTCACACAACACACACACACACACACACACACACACACACACACACACACACACACACACACATTCAGTCCACATCTTTGTGTTTGTCACAGCAGGCTTCTGTCGCTGCGCAGGGTCGGACGTATGGCGGCGAAACTTTAACATCTCAGGCAGCTCAGATGTCGATCGCTGAGGCGATGTGATACAACAACAACAACAACAACAAAACAATGACAGAGGATTTGTGGGTTTAATCCTCAGGACAAGGTTGAAGAGGACTTACATGGACAGAAACATGAAACATTTGGAAAGTATTTGCAAAGCCCCAAAATTTCCATATTTATTGTGTGTTTTACAATTTCCACTTTTATTTCCATTTTTTTGCGTGTTGTTGTCTGATTTTATGGTACAAAGCTTAATTAGATCCCAGATACTCATTATATTTTGAGTTGCAGCCTGGTGCTTGATATTTTCCACCATAGATACCAACAGAAAATACACAAATTGGTTCATAAAAATGTACCAGAATGCAGGAAATGAAGCGTTTGACACTCAAAATGCCCTTATTGTGTCCCGCTCCCTAATGCTCAAATACAAACTACATACCTCTTACTAAAAATGAGGCTCAATTAAAAATACTTTTCAGGCTTTTTCATTTTTCCAAATTGTGAAAACAATACAATCCACCAAGAATAATTTAAATGTTAAAGGAAAAACACACCTTTTAAGTAAAGATGATGCATTATGTGTTATCTAGAGGCAGATCTAGAGTCAGGAATAAAGCAGATAATCCTACATGACAGCGTTTAGATGCAGCAGCAGCAGCTCATTAATAATTCACACATACAGTATGTGGGTCTCTGTTGTTTGGAGGTTGATGTGCTGCTGAATGTTGGTATCGGACTCGCTGTCACTCTGTCTGGCTGCTTGTTCAGCACCGGCCTGCTTCCTCCTCTCGGCCTTTAAAGTCAGAGTTTGTGAAATTTAATCTCCTTAAATCGGTTAAACTGCTGCGTGTGTCGGGCTGATACATGAGGCTGATATTTGATTTTAACAAGCAGAACGATGGATAAGGTCTGAGAGGACGGATGCTGTCTGTTATTGATTACAACAGAAGAAATCATGATTGGTTGATCATCTTAGATGTTCTCATTTCTTTTCCATTTTTTTATGACTGAAACGCAAAAACAAAAAGTAGAATGGACTTTTTGGAATATTAAGTGTTTAATTATTAATGTGCAGCTCTGAGCTGATCCAGTTTGAGTTGCTAATGTGCAGTTGTTAGGAGTTAAATCAATGACTGAAAGGGGAATCAGATGCTACATACACAAGCAACAGTACATTTGTGGCAATTTTTTTAGTAATTTTCAGTTGCGTTCAGGATTAACAGTAACAACGGTGGGTCAACACAACTGTTTTGTTCTAATTAAAATTCACCCAGTGTTGTGTCAGTGCTGCTGGGACCCAAATTAGGTCAAATCATAACCCAATAACTTTTACTATTTGAATGTTTTGGACTTGCTAATCATGAGTCGAAAACCTTTTTTTTTTAAATGTAATGCCAGTGGTCTGTGTGCAAAGTTGACCCAGATTCAGTTTCCAGCATCAGTGTAGTTCTGGGTTAACTTTTCTTACAAGTGCTGCATCAAAAACATCCCCACATATGAGCCTTCTTTGATCAGGGTGTAACCTACTTTACTTTAAATGTTTCTTACTAATAACCATGTATGTTTCTTTTAAACTTTTAAAGTCATCCATCCATCCATTATCCATACACCACTTAATCCTCACTAGGGTCATGGGGGGCTGGAGTCTATCCCAGCTGACTTAGGGTGAAGGCAGGGGACACCCTGGACAGGTCACCAGTCTATCACAGGGCTACACTTAGAGACAGACAACCAAGCACACTCACATTCACACCTACGGACAATTTAGAATCACCAACTAACCTCAACATGTTTTTGGACTGTGGGAGGAAGCTGGAGAACCCAGAGAGAACCCACGCTGCACGGGGAGAACATGCAAACTCCACGCAGAAAGACTTTCTTGCTGCGAGGCAACGGTACTAACCACAGAGCCACCATGCAGCCCTTTAAAGTCATGTGTACATAAATTTAGAAAACTTATAATAAACTTTTGCATTTTGAGCTTGCTGTGTCCAACACTGGGACAGAAAAACACATTTTGCTCTTTATAAATAACCGAGCAGCAACAACGACGACAAAACAAATCACTGTTAACCCAGTGTTGTGTTGCTTCCAAATTAAAGGAAAAACTGAACATTTATAAGATGTTTTTTGTCTGCTTGCTTAGAAAGCAAGTCACAAACAACTCATACAAAGATAGATTAAATGCATTTTGGGGGGTTTTATTGCATTGTTGCCTCTTATACTGTAACAGGTGTATTTGCCCTCTAGTTAAAGTTAGTTTAAAGGTAAAGTTTCAAATTCTTCTCACTCATCTTTTAATAGAATAGAATAGAATAGAATAGAATAGAATAGAATAGAATAGAATAGAATAGAATAGAATAGAACTTTATTGATCCCTTCTTGTTTCCTTTCATAGATTCTATCAACTTGAAGTTACACGTTTTCCCTTCAAACTGTTCTTCTAGTTTTGGCCAAAGTGCAAAAATTAGGTTTTACTACTCCTTTAACATTATGACATCATTTCATCCTAAATCTTTCTGCTGCATCTCAACCACAGTCTTCTTCCAGCAGGATTAAAAAGTAGGGAAAAGTAAAGAACCATGTTTTACATTTGGGTAGAGCAAATAAAAAACTTCATTTTTCTTAAAATTAAGTAGCAGCAATGCAAACATGTTCAGTGTGTGCTGAGAGGATTAAAATGATTTAAGTACATCTAGCTTTAAAACAGTGGCTCTAATTTTACTTGTTTGCTTAATTTAAATAAACTTAATTCAACTTTGTGTTTTCACTTGAAGCTATTTATCTAAATTAGGTTTGGTTTTCAGTGTTGGTTTTCTAATATTTGCTCTTTTCACATTACTCATTTCTTTAAAATGCAATATTTTTTGACCCTCTTATAACCTGATTATAGTTTGATTTTTATAGATTGATGCCAGTTGATTGGGTGATGATGCAATATCAGTGTATTTGAATTGCATTTGTGCTCACATTTTAGTATTCAAGTCAAAAAAATTGTAGATTTTTCTTGAAGTTGCTTGTTTTGACTGCTTTGTTTTTCCATCAATGAAGAAGTCAGACAAAAAAAATGAAAAAAATCTGAGAGAAAAATAAAAACGTGGAGCTCCTGCGTCAGGTTACAAAACATCTGCAGACTGCCGCTGGGACCAAAGGAGGAAGAAGAAAAGGAGGAGGAGGAGGAGGAGGAGGAGGGTCGGGGGAGTCGAAGAAGTGGGGAGTGGTGCTGGTGGTGAAGAGGTTGTCATGGTAACCACTCCTCCTGCTGCTGGGGGTGATGATGTAACACCGGGTCTCTTTTCTCGTCCTTGTCCTGCCCACCTACACCAGCACACATGGCTGCACGCGTGTGACATGGAGCGTGGAAACAGACAAAGGAAGAGTCCACGGACTGTACGTGACCCAAGACGATAAGAGATCAGTCGTCTGAGCTATTTTCATAACAACCTGCTGCAATCTTGATTTCTCAAAAACGCAGATTATTGCTCTGTTTTGGGGCCTTTTCAAGACAACCGATGCTTGTAATTTCAAAAGAACCCACTGCTGTTAAGATAAAAACCTGTTTGGTCTCCTGTAATTGCTGCTCCCTGCTGCCCAGATCACATCATCAAAGCTCTGAGCATCATTAAGGCAGGAAAGCTCGAAAATGAAGGTAGAGCTGCAGACGACGATTCCTGCCACATGAGGGCGTCAATCAGCTGCCGTGCTCGAGGGAAGAGGAACAAAAAAGCAACAGACGGATAAAACACTTTATTCTCAGGTCATAGAAATAAATCACAGATTGGAAATATACATCGGTCGTTAGAGAAAAGCAAGCTGTGCAAAGCAGGTTTTTCTATTTCAAGATTTGAAAATAGAAGCATCATTTCTTCCTTCAACAATATGAGACATGAAAGGCATCAAGAATATGACTGAACAAAAACATAAAGGCAGCATGTCTTTCTTACCAGCTTATGATTAGATAAAGATGGACAATTTTGAACAAAAAGTGTGTAAGCTGTTCCACTGAGTTCATCCACATCATCGTCAGGTTTGGCTTTAACAAGGATCAGATAGTTTGACACTTCTCTGACCAGTGACCACCTCAAACTGCAGCTTTTTATTCAAATGACACAACGGTACAGATGATGCAAACAGGCATGCTGGCGGATTGGTTGTCCACAACACCACTGTTTGTCATCCCAGAAGTTGTTTCAGACAGACAATCTGCCACATGACAGCAGATAGAATGTCGCCATCGGAGCTCAGGATCAACGCATCTGGCTCGGCCATCTGTTAAAACCATTTCTGATTGGCTACTGAGACTGCTGGTGAAGTTGTTGGTGTGTATAGACTGAGAATATACTATAAATCTGCTCAAACGTTGAGGAATCATCGAGGGGGGGCAGATACCGATGCCGATTATTGGTACGCAAGAAAGGCTGATAACCTGGAGCAGATATACATTAAACGTAATTTTTTAATAGCATGTGACAGCAGGAAACCTGTCATTCATAACGAGGCTTCTTCATTAATAATTGTGATTAGAACTGAATATGGAAAACAGAAAAAGGAGTGAATAAATTAGGACTCTATGGGATCCACTGAGATTGATTAGTTTGTCTCCTGCAGTTACATCTGCTCATCTGGCCTTTTCTTAATTGTTTACTGTTCCATCACAGTATCTGAAAGCATTATTAATTACTGTTATCCAGACTCTGTTTCAGGGTAATCTGTGGCTGCCTTCTAACTTAGCTGCTAGCCGTTAGCGTAGCCTTAGCCACTGTGAAAACAGATAATTTCCCGGTTTGTGGCAACGGCTCGTGTTCCTTGTTCAGTTTTTGTAGTCTCTGCTTGAGAAACATTTCTGAGACCACAGACAGAAAGAGGAGGATGCATCAGATCCAAAGTAGCACATTTATTTTAACAATTATTGGTCAATAAAAATGCCGATGCTGATAATCAGAAAAATGCCAAATCTTGGCCACGATAATCGGTCTATCCCTATTCGTCAGCCGCACCAAGGCCTCGATCTATTGACAAAACCGTGTCAAAATTTTCTCAAGGGTCCACGTTTATTTGATATTGGCAAGATGGAGGATGGTTCTTTTCACTGATTGTCTCCTCTTTTAGCTATATGGAGCAGGTGGCAGATGTGGTGAACGGAACGAAGACCACAGTTACTTCATTCGTCAATCATCAGTGTCAAAGTCCAACAAGATCGAGATGAAACTCTTAAACCCATGAACATCACGTTTACTTTTTTTGCTTTAACTTCCCGCGAGACAACTCTCAAGCTATGTCACCCATCGAACATCCATGTGACACTCTGACAACATGATCCTGTCACCTTCACCAAGCCCTTCAGGATACGGTGGAAGAACTTTCTACAAACCAGAAACCTCAGTACCTCTATGAGTGTGTGACTCATTACTAACTTTGGATTTCCAGTCTTTGACTCCACTCTCAATCTAACAATTATCACTTCCAACATTGTGCATGTTTGGATGTTTCATGCAGCCTATGATGTTGTAGAAATGCCCGCATATTAAGTAGATCTGATCAGATATTACATGCTGCATTTACATTTCTGTTCAGTTCAGTGACAAATTTGGCCCAAACCACCAACAACCCCGCATCAACACATTATCCATTATCGTCTGCTTCCTTCTTCTCCACATAAAACATAAACATCTTCATAATTTTCTGATCCCAGCCACGTCATTCAGTCCCAAAAATAGTGCACACAAACACCGAGACGCTGATCCAGAACCAGCGGTTTGTGATTGTCTTCATTGTGTCGTTACAGCAGATGAAAGAGATGAAGGTTTGTTGGTTTGTTTCAGGCTGCAGCTTCACACCTCTGGCTGAACAGCTCCTCCACCACCTTGGGGTCGGCCAGGGTGGAGAGGTCGCCCAGGTCCTTCTCGTTCCGGGCCACCTGCCGGAGGATTCGCCTCATGATCTTCCCTGAGGAGGACGAGGAGACGGATGTTATCGAGGAGGAGGAGGAGGAGGATGAAGCTGGTTAAAGAGGTTGTTGTTGAGTCGTTACCTGAACGAGTTTTCGGGAGCGCCGGGGCGTTCTGGATGAAGTCTGGCGTCGCGATTGGTCCGATTTTCTCTCTCACTGAGGAGAAGTTAAAGAGAAGGAATGAGTGCTGAGCAGAAGAGAGGACTTCTTTACATAATTCACCGATTAAACAAACTACACTGATTCCATTTAAAGATGTTTGTACAGGCATCTCCACTAGTTTGTGAACAATGATGAGTTTCAAAGCTCTATTTTCAATTTAGCTCTACATGCATAAAGCTGCAAATACATTATGAATGGAAATGTGAAAAAAATTAATAAACATGAATAAAAGTTAGATAGAATAAAACATAAAGTAGAAGAGGAAATATAAGTTCCCCATTTATTCCAGATGTCTTATGGCTACATTGAATTCTTGGATTCAACTGTAGTTATTGTAATTTAGCCTCTTTTACAGCTACTTTTATTTTCTCTATCAGCTAAAAAAGTGAGTGTAAAGAGAAGTCCTTGTTCTTAAATTTTAAAACCGGCTTTAAACTCATCTTTAAACAGGTTTTTTTAAATCTATTTTTTCCCTTTCATTTCTTCCTAGTCTCTATTTTCTTTAAAATAGTTTTTCACTGATGAATATTCTTGTTCTGTTCTGTTTTATGAACCTATATATGCTGTTAATACTTTAAATCTACACATTGCATGTTGTGTAATAGAAGCTGTGTAATTATTTGATACTGAGAAACATCCATGTGCAGGTGATACATGTTTGTTGAATTTGAACTCTTGAAGGAACAGGGATGTCTCTTGATTCTAGCGAAGGATTGAGACTTTGATTGTGGGACTTTTTTTTTTCTTAAAGGTGTTTTGTGGTTGTTAGAAACTTTCAAAATAAAAGCTCTAAAGATATAAATCGTTTTCTTCTGCCATTCTCAAGTTGTTGCTGTTGATGTTATCTCACCTGCTCTGGGTGAAAAGACCCGTGATTGGCTAAAATCTCCTGCTCGATTAAATGTTCTAAAAGCTTCAAAACAGAGTTAGGAGGAGGTATAGAGTACTAGCTTCCTCGCAGATGACTTGATGTACAATCAGCTGAAAGGTTAGTGCAGGATTTTTGCTCAATAAGCCCTTAAAAACACTGCTTACCCCACCTTTAACTCACTGTTTATATATAGTATCGCTGCTCTATTAGTCATTTTGGCCATTTATTTATGAGAATAACAAAATGTACTGTCAGGCTGTGTGATGAATCATGGAACAGCTGTTTGTTCTGACTGTTCAGCAGCAATGTTGTTTAATTTAATGTTATATTTTATACATACACACACAAAAACACATTACACAATTTTTTAAAAAAAAGGTTTTGGGTGGATTTTTCTTTCATCCCTGATCAAAACAGCCCCTGTCACAGCCTCACCCTGTCTCTTGAGCTCCTCCACCAGCATGTGGTTGAACTCCCTGCAGTCTTTGAGGGTGACAAAGCAGTAGAGACACTCTCCCTTCACTTTGTGAGGTCGGCTCACCACGGCGGCCTCGGCCACAGCCGGGTGCTCCGTCAGAGCCGCCTCCACCTCCGCTGTGCTCATCAGGTGGCCTGGAGGACACGGCAAAGTGACAAAACATAAACACAAGGCTTCTGGAGAGGAAAGAGGAACGTGTTTAAGTCAAAGTTATTGTTGAAAAATTGGGGTAAAAATCGCTCCGTTTGATGTTGTAATAACCTTTTCCGAATGTTTTGAGAGGCAGCAACAGCTCAGTACACAGTACCTGACACGTTGAGCATGTCGTCTATTCTCCCCGTGATCCAGTAATAGCCGTCTTTATCCCTCCTGCAGCCTGACAGAGGAGAAAACCAGTTGCATAACCCCCCAAAAGAGTTTTTATAGCATCTTATGCTCCCCCTCAAGAGGCACTTTGGTATTTTAGCGAGAAATCAAGATGTACATTTGGAGCACTAAAACTGCCGGCTTGTCCTGAGCGACATTCAATCAGTGAGCTGAAGTTGATTTTTGTGCCTCACCGTCACCGGTCACGTAAAAGCCTGGGAATTTCTTGAAGTAGGTGTTCTCGAAGCGCTCGTGGTTTTTGTAGACTGTGCGCATTATTCCAGGCCAGGGCCTCCTGAAGACCTGAATAAGAGACACGTTACTGCTGCTACTGCTGACTGCTGCTATTAGTACTAACACACTAAATCAATTCAAGGAAGCTAAAGTGAAGTCAATGACAACACTACAATATCATACTAGTACAACAACCTTTATTGTATGTCTGCTATTCAACTGAATGTAATTTTTAACTGGTCTTGAAGTGCTTCAAACTAAAAATTAGCAAACAGGCAAGAAGAAGAATGTCAGAGGAATCTAAAATAACTGATCAGAATCTGTCGATCTGGGCAGTGGTCTTCTGCACATAATTTCATTTGCAGAGAAAAATGAGGTTTTGTTTCGTTAAAACTCACCAGATAACCCTCAGCTTCTCCTTCCAGTTCCTCCCCGTGTTCATTGAGGATGGTCGGTTCCACCCCGAAGAAAGGAAAGGTCTAAAATGTGGAAATAATATTGATATAAATAACATTTTTATGGTGGTGTTTTTTTTTTAGACCAGGGCATTTTTGTCTTTAAGGTCTTGAGTGTGAGTTGTTGTTTTTTTTAAATAATGCATTAGACTCACTGTTGTTGCTAATCATTGACACATTTCAGACTGTGATCATCAAAAGCAGATATTTCCTCTAAGCAGTTATTACATGAAACATAATTTCCTTACTGTGTGTGTGTGTGTTTTTTTTTATATAATTTGAATGACAATGGCATTTAGATAACAAACTGGCATTTGAAGCATTGAAATCCTGAAGATGAATGATTTCTGGTTGTTTCGATCAGGATTGATGTAGATTTTTGGAATTAGAATCAACTTTATTGGTCAAGTTTGTATGCGCAAACAAGGAATTTGACTCGGGTGAATCTTAGCTCTCTGTAAAGAAATAAACTACAACAACAAAAATAGGGCAATAAATAGCAGTATTTACAAAACTACAAAGCTATTCTAAGAAATAGTCATTTAAAGTAGAAAATAATATTAACATGTTACATTTTTATGGTAGTTTTTTTATGAGCCTTTAAGGTCCCTTGTATGATTTTTTTTTTTCTAATGTTGCAATGCATTAAAAATAACAATACATCATAATGAGTATTGCTTCTAATAATCGTCACATCATAGACTGTGATGATCAAAAGGTGGAATTTCTGCTAAGCATCTATAATAAGGAAAATAATTTACTTATTGTGTTTTCATATTAGGCAACAATGGTGTAAACAGTAGATCATCATATCAAATCATTTTTGTTGTGGTTTTCTTTGCCTTAAAAAGTAAACAAGCGATCATTTAAACGGTTAAAATCCAGAAAATTAATGCATATTTGGTAGTTATGATCATGGCTGACAAATTAGCAACTGAAAGTGGAACATCATTTTAACATGTAACATTTTTCTGGCATTGTTTTTGTCTGTTTTTGTCTTTCAGGACCTCCTTCTTTAAATTGACATCTAAAGGTTTAAAGCTCCTCCATGGATACAGCGATCATTCTAGCCTAGTTCATAATCTATATATGAAAAAGCAGACTGCATTACCTGCACAGATTTTGTAAAAAAAAAAAAGTCCTTTGGGTTTGTGTTGACACCATTTATTAGAGGCAATAAATGTGTTTTAGATTATTGCCGGTATGAAGGAGATGTGGTCACTTACAGCAGATCCTGGTTTCAGTGGTGTAGCAGCAGGTAGAGGAGTCAACACGTGACCTCCCTACACAGACAAGGACATAACAGTTACTGATAAAGAACCAAAAAGTATTGAAATTTAACAAGCATGAGTATATAATAGAGCGACTTTGTGTTTCTTACGGTCTCTGTCTGCCAGAAAGTGTCGACCACAGGACACCGGCCCTGACCGACCGCCTCATGGTACCACTGCCACGCCTCCGGATTGATCGGCTCGCCCACCGTACCCAGAATCCTCAGACTGGACAGGTCGTACCTGACCAATCATAAAGATTTCCTTTACAAATCTCACTCTGCATCAGTGCGTGGTACTGTTCACTGCTCTCTTACAGGAATGATCAGCTACCTCAGTTCTCTTCCCTACATTAGGACTTCTATCTGTGATGCACAATCCAAAAACTGCTCATTCCATATATCATGTATGTCCTGACTGGTAGAATTTGTTACAGACACTAGGCTCTATTTAAATTAAGAAAACTGCCCTTATAATTGTTTATATGAACTTAATGTGAACAAATTAATCACATGTACTGATAGATGTGTGGCTTTATAAGTGCTGTTGTTGTGTCTGACTGTGAACATTCTCAGGTTTCTCTGAACAAATACATCACAATAAGACTGTTTAAATGACATTAGATATTAATCTGTAAAACAAGGTATTAACCATTTTTTCTAACACAACTTCTAATTATTGATTTGCTATATTTCCAAGATTGCACAGCAGCATCGAATACGCTTTTCTCTCAGTGATGCTATTGTGGTTACATTTTAATTTATGATTTGATTGGTGCAGAATGATGTATCCAACAACCTACATTTACCATCACTTATTTACATGTTTAACATTTTAAAATTTACTTTTTGATTTTTATTTTGATTGGAAATATGTTTTGGAAAATCTGCTTGCTTGTTGAGAACTCGATGAGGAGATTGGCATTACTCTATCATCTTTGTGGTGAATGTGAAGCTACAGCCATTAGCAAGGTAGCTTAGCTTAGCTTAGCTTAGCTTAGCTTAGCTTAGCTTAGCACAAAGACTGGAAACAGCAGGAAATAGTGAACCTGTTCTGTCTAAAGTTTACAAACTCCTGGCCTCTATAAAACTCAATAATTAAACACAAGGAGGCATCGGTGGCTGTTTGAAACCCGGATGTCGACCTAACCGTGAGTCAGTTTCCTTCACAAGGTGGTTGTATTGTAATTTAATGAATTCTTTAAATCTTGCCTCTGACAAATACTGAAACTCATAAAATCTAAACATCCATAAAACACTAAAGTTGAAAACTCACTCTGGAGATGAGCTAAAACTAATGAAAAATCCTACTTCTGGCCTTTTCAGCAGCATCCCGGCTCAGAACTCAGACGTTTGTGGCTGTTTTTGATCAGGGGCTCCTGAATCAAGCTTTGAAAATGCACACAAGCAACCTGTTTGCTTCAGTTGTATGATTATTTATATACATGTTTTCTTTTATTCAGCTCAGTGTTACATAAGAAGTGAACGGAGTGATGGAAGTCTTTGAAAATCTAGTTGGACATTTTCATGTGAAAAGCAGGGAAATCTTGGGGGGGAAAAAACATTTCTTAGGTCAGGCTTTGAAAGTCAAACTCTGCCTGCAGCCTCTTGAACAACTTTGTCAAAAATCCTGCATTACTCTGAGCTGCAGATACGTTCACCTACTTCTGCAGAGGCTCCTTCCCGTACTTCATCAGCAGGCGGATGGCCGTGGGAGCTGTGTAGAACTTGGTCACTTTGTACTTCTCGATTACCTCCCAGAACCGACCGACGTGAGGGTGGACGGGGATTCCTTCGAACTGAACACGTAGAGGTAAGCACACACTTTGATTTTCATCTCATGTTGCAGCCATGGATGCTTCCTTCTCTATCATCTGGTTGGACTCACCAGAACACTTGTGGCTCCGTTTGCCAGGGGTCCGTAGCTGATGTAGGAGTGACCGGTGATCCAGCCGATGTCGGCCGTGCACCAGTACACGTCGTCGTGGTGATGATCGAAAACATATTTGAAGGTCAGCGACGTGTAGAGCAGGTACCCGGCAACGGTGTGGAGAACGCCCTGAGTAATGAAGCACATGAAAGGATGAGATTATCGGTGGAGGAGGTGTGTGTTCAGGTGTCTTAGGTTGTGGGGATATAAACATGTTGTGGGATTTGACTTCCTTTTTGGGGATAAAAACAAGCGTCCATATGTAAATCAGTGTATTTTATAGTGAAGACTTGCTGCAGCTTGAAGCACAGTTGTGTTTAAGTGATGGATGCATGACTGTGTGAAAGTCAGAGCATCAACTAATATGAAATCCTCTCTCTAAGTGCTGTGTGAGTGTGTACAACAGCACACATACAAAACACAAATGCATCTCCCAAAGAACTTTCCAGGATTGCCTTTATGCCTTTTAGCCTTAGAAAACCATTAATTCCCACTATTTCACAGCAGATTATGTAAAAGCCTGCACGGTTAACATCATTACAGGCTTATCAGCGTCCAAAATAGATGCTGTGATGTGTTCAAAAGATACTGAGAACAAGTAATGTGTGTGTTTTTTTTGTTCCTCCATGCAGTTGCCACCTTTAATCCCGTCTCGGTGTGAAGCTCACCTTGGGTTTGCCGGTGGAGCCGCTGGTGTAGAGGATGAACAGCGGGTCCTCGGCGTCCAGCCACTCGGGTTCACACACTTCAGATGATTCTTTCATCGCCTCGTCCCACCACAAGTCGCACTCGGCGTCCCAGGGGGTCTGAAGGCGACACGACAACAGGGAACCAACCCAACACATAAGCCGGCGCGTTACAGCTGCTCACATCGTTTGCCAAAACCTACCGGCTGCAACACTACAGGCCAGTTTTAGTGTAATTTACTGAGCTCTTTGGGAAACTGGGTGTAAACCAATTTTGTTTTTGTTTTTTTTTTGTTTTTTTTGCTTTAGCCTGAAATAAAGCTTTAAATTTCTCTGCAGGTTTAGGAATTATGGGCCTGAAAACAAGATTTAAAAGCTCTCATATATACAATTTTTAAAAAAGAAGACAAAACTTTTTAAAACATTATTTTTGAAGGAAATTCTTGCCAGATATTGCTCAGAAAAAAAAAAAAGAAAAAAAAAAAAAGCAAGGCACAAAAAGAAAACAAAGCAAAAAAAAAGTGAAAACAAAAAGTTAAAAAAAGCCGAAAAAAAAAAAAAAAAACTTTTAATTATTTAAAAAGTATCACCACCAGACAACAAAAAAGAAGAAAAAACTCCTCCTGGAGGACAGCAAGGAGGACCAACAACATTACTACTAGCTAAAAAAAACAAGAATAAGAAAAAAAAGAATTTAGAAAAGATTTTATTACTACCTTCAAAAAAAGAAGAAGACGAACAACAAGAAGACTACACCACCAAAAAACTAGGGAAAAAACACAAGATGATGACATCACGGCGGAAGATGCTGATAAGAGAATAAACAACATTTGAGTTAATTGGAGGATACTTTAAATGTTCCGTACAAAACCACCATATTCAGCAGTAATTCTTGAATCTACCTGCAGTTTGTTGCATGCGGCTCCACTTTTTGTCCTCAGCGCATGATGCTTCACGACGAGGCATTTGGTGACGCTGCAAGACGCTCTGTGAGGAAATACATAAAGTAGACTAATGATTATTTTTATTGTCAACTGATCTGTTGATTAATTTCTGAATTAACTTCTTAGTCTCTCAGAAAATAGTGAAAAATGTCAATTACTGTCAGTTAAGCTCAGAATAATGTCCTCAAATGTCTGGTTTTGTCTGCTGGCCAAAAATATTCTATATCATAAGGAAGTAAAGAAACCAGAAAACATTCACATTAAATATGCTGGAGTCATACAGAATAGTTAGCAATTCATTTATTAGCTTACAACTGATGAATGAATCGTTGCAGCTCTGTGTATTTGGATGTTAAGGCTGTCTGAGTCAGACAATAGCAGCTATGATGTGTAGAAGTCAGGCTAGAATCAAATTTTGACAACAAAATAAATACATTTTGGCACAAAACCGGAAACATGAAGTGACGTAAATGTGCCAAGCAGCAAAAAAGCAGAAACGCTTCCTATGTGAATCCAGACACCAAAAATTGATCCAGAAGTGATTTTCTGACTACACGTTGGACAAAGCTGCCGGACCATTTCTGCTGGCAGTTGAGTCACAACGTTTTGGCGAGCCAGTCAGGACAAAGGACTGAAACCTCAGCCTGAAAGTGGACCACCTCCCTTTGCCACAACTTCTTCAGGAGGTTCCCACCATGTCCGGGGCAGCGTCCAGGGCTAAACTAACCCCACGCCATCAACGCAGTGCGACACACGACGCTCAGGTACAAGAAAAGAGTGGCTGCAGCCGTCCATAGCCAGAGAATTGGAGCTGCTGAAGCGAGCACAGGAGGACGTTGAGGAGGAGGAGAAGACCAGGCTAAAGCTGGAGAATGAGACTCTCCGCTTTGAAAAGCAACGACTGCAGATTCAAGTGGACCAGCCGACTAAAAAGGGACCTCATCGTCTATAAGGAATGAATGAATAGAAAAGATTGTCTGAAGCAAAAAAAGACATGGCCAGGCACGTTTGATCCGACTAATGGGGATTCAGCTGGAAGGCCAGGTGCAGAATGAATTATACTGTTGATGTTATCTTTAAAAAATGAGATAATTGGAAATTTGCCCGGAATAGATCGGAAATCCCCGAAAAAAATAACACAGTGGTGGCAGAGATGATCAGATTTTTTTTTTTTTCAGGTTGTGGCTTCCCAGGAGAAAGAGGAGATTCAAGAAGGAACCTTAGAAGGAAGATTAAGTTAGTTAGTCTGATCACGAGGTCGCACTCGTGTTTGTTCTTTACTGATTTTGTACTAAACAAACATCAGACTTTAAACACTTGGTGGAGACCTTTTCTTGAATATTTTTTGAAGACACCAATAGTTGATTCAGAAGTGATTTTTTGACTACATGTTGGACAAACCTGTCTGAGGCTGTCCATTGAGTCACAGCAGCTACTGAATGGATGAGTTGCTCTGATTTCCAGAAATGTAAAAACTGTTAGTTATTAATATTACTTTTTTTTTTCTTATTTTAAATCTTACATCTTCTAACAACTTTCATGTGTGAACATTTCAGTATATGAGATCCATTTTTCTCCCTATCTCATGTTTTTTTTTTTTTTTCTTCTCACGTTTCTTGATTGCAATTTCGATTTAGTGTAACACGATGAGTCTTTATTAATCCCACAGCAGGGACATTTGCATTGTTTCAGCAGCAAGTATTCTGATTTTTCAAATTCCTCTGGATGTAGAAATAACAATGTTGCACATATTACTGCTATCGTATGGATTATTTCAGAATATAAGTAATAATATTGCACAGATTTGATCTATGTTGCACAGATAGGTAAAAAAAAAATACTGATGTTACACTGATTCTTGTATATGAAGATAAATATATATGATTTAAAATTGGCATTATTTATTGTATCAGTAACAGTAGATGACAGCAAAAGTGAAATATGGTTCAAATCTATTATGATATTTAGTAAATTAAGTGTAAAATATGAGGGTTAAATGGATTCAGAGTTTGGACATATGAATGACGACCTAAAAGGTATAACAAACAATTGCACTACACTAATTTGTTTATGTCAAGATTCTACAATAAAACCACATCTGCAGCCCCTGACACTCTGCCAGCCCTTTCCCAGCATGCTCTGCTTCTGAGCTCACGTCTCTCCCAGGTTTGCGTTGCCACGGGAGACGAGCATCTTGGGCTTCCCTGATGAACCCAAGCGCTCGGCAACGTTGCCCGGCAACCTCGTAATGTAAAAAGCATCCCTGATAACAGCTGATTGCTCTGATGTGCGTGTGTCCAGTGACTCACATTCCCGCTCTGAGTGCTGTTACCAGCAGCGCTCTGTGTAAACAAGGGCGGTTGCTGAGAACCGGGAAACTGGAACCTACTTTTCCCTGCACTTCTCCAGAGCCTCGTCTGCAATCTGCTTCAGGTTGATCAGCTTCTCTCCTCTGTAAACACCATCTGCGTATGACAAAGGGACGGAGGGAGGAGCAAGAAGACAGACAGACATATAATGATGTGTATAAAAATGAAAGAAAAACAGCAGGGATTCATCTTTACAGCTCAAACACATGACATCCTGGTTTGGTGAAACTCTGGGCGGCTGGACGAACCTGCTGTCACCAACACGCTGCTCTGGGCGTCCATAATCCTCTCAGACAGGGACTCAGAGGAGAAACCTGCAAACTGAACATGCAAAGAGACAGAAATGATGGAAAAAAGCTTCAGAAAACTTTGACACTTCAGTAAAAAAAATCTATTTCTGTTAGTGGTTGAAAAGATACTCATCAAAGCCTGAACTGAGATCTGACAACGCAGAATTGAAAAACGTGGTTTTCCAGGTATTCACTGCTAATGCTACACCTGAATCAAGTGTTTTAGTGGCTAATTATCTGAATTTTCAGCCACTTGGGGGCAGCATAAACAAGCTGTAAACACCAAAGTGACATATTATTGCCTATTAGGTTAGATAAAAAATGATCACTTGACTTGAATACCTATGTACTTTTACTGACATAGCATATATATATATCTTTGTACTCGTAGTGCAGTATTTTTCTGTTAATGTATTGGTCTTTTATGTAAATAAAAGACGTGAACACTTCTTCCACCACTGCAAGTAACAAT